GAAGTTGCCCCAGTCGTGGCGCAGGGAGCTACCTTCACCCGCCTACCCAGGCAGCAGCAGCAACGACCGGGAGCCTACACCACAAAAGTTCTGCAGTGCTCGCGCTGCAACAAGGCGTGGCACTCTGCTTCGTCATGCCGCAGCAGCCCGTCGTGCCGTTACTGTTCAGGCCCACATCAATTCAATGAATGCCCTCTGGCAAAAGTGGACCCTGACTTTAAAAAGCCAAACGCAAGCAGAATATGTTCTTATTGCTCCGGTGCACACAGCGCCAGGTACATGGGCTGCCCGTACCTGAAAGAAGTCAAGAGAGCGATGGCGAATACCACCACCAGGACCACACACAACCCAGAGCCGAAACAAAGATATCAGGCGCCCAGTCCGACAGCCGTGAACAACAACGTCATTACGCAGCTGAGAAACGAAATTAAATCCCTGCGAGAAGAGAACGCAAGAATCAGGGCACTCAGGACTCAAGACAGGGACGAGATGATTGACCTGAGAAGCATCCTGCAGGCATCTCTTGAGACCCAGAGGAGGCTAGAGAAGGAAACTGCAGAAATAGCGACCTTTAAAATCGACTTGATGGCAAATCTAACTGACCTTAAGAAGTTGAAAGCAGCTAATGCCGCAGCCGCAAAAGAACTGGAAGACAGCCACAAAAGCCTACTGTCCGAGGTCACCACCATCAAAAAAGACCTGACAGACACCAAAGAAAAGCTACAGAGATCAAGCAAAGAATGCGCCAAACTCAGCTCTGCACTCCAAGCCACGAACAAAGTGATAGACGCCAGAGAAAGCGCGAAGAAGGAAAAAGACAGGAAGAGGCAGATCCACGACGCACACGGAAAAACCGGAGATCTAGAGAGGAAATGCACGCAGGACCTGTGCATCCTCAAGGAACGCCCGAAAGACGACTTCACTGAGCGGGAAGCCGATCACATAACTCACGACGAACTCAAAGAGAGGATGCAAATGCTCACAGACAGCATGACCAGAATGCAAAAGATCAAAATAGGCTAACCGGCATGACAAAGCCAGCAACCGACCAGAACCGACCTAGCCGCCATAACACTTTTCAAGCCAAGCTCACCGGACCGGACCTCCCGCGCTGAACCAGCCAACTAAGACCGCTCTTCTGCCAAATAATCTCCCACTCTCCCCCGCACCAGGCCGCGCCCGGCACTCACTTATTGTCCTTCTCAGGACTTTTAGCTCTCCTCCACCAATGCAGCCTACTTCACACCAAGCAAGAAAATCGGTAATCAAGGCACAGCCAAGAAACAAAACGACCTAGAGTCAGCACACAAACAAGGACTTGATATAGTCACGGCTCAACCAGGAGCAGACTGAAAGAGTCAAGGAGTTTTGCAATTTTTGTTTTTAACCAACTTCAACTTCAACATGAAAGTACACGAAGCGGGAGAGCTGACGATAGAAGGAGTTTCTTTTAAGCAGACCGTGTTGAGAGCGACGTTCTGCAAAGTGCCTGCTTCATGAGGATGAGCGCTTTAATTTTTCTTTTTAGTTAAACAAAACCATTTGTGTTCCATCGTCACAATGAAAGTTTACTACTACAGTGCACCCACTGCGGTTTTTGTGAATATTACCTGATGAGGCTCCAATCTCTACCCATGCATGCCTCTCGTGATACCGTCGAAAAAAAGAGAACGGTTTTTTTAAACTAAACCGTCCACCGCAGAAATTGAATCCTAGAATTTGAGGACATTCTTTTTAGATAGCAAGTGGCAATTATGTTGTTGTAATGGCAATCTTACTCGGTATAGCATGAGACTCCGTTCGTCCGTTCCCTTCAATTTTATTGGGCATAATCCTGAAATATTGCATTTCTCTTACAAGTCTGTTGTCCTTTCAAATTCATACATAGTTCTAGCATCTCAAATGCCAATTCTGGTGGTTTCTCTAACTGAAAGAAGGGCGGTCGGCCATGCAGACTTCTTTCGGATTTCCAAAGGCCAGGCGTGCATAAAATGGATGTAATTGCCGCTGACACTTTCCATTGCAAAGGAGAAATGCGTTATTTGACCGTTTATTATTAATGCTGACCACTGATTACGAATCTGCCACTCGGTTTACGGCTCGCCAAGCACGTAAAGCTGGTTATGAATATTAACACATCGAAAAAGAACGCTTACTGCATGCTTACGCCACTCATGCAGAAATATCAACACGTAAAGCTAGCAGTTGTACTACAACACCAGCTGCGCACGCACTCTAAACGGGCAAGCGATGTAAAGGAAAATATCACGTGATACTCTCTACAGTGTAATTGTTATATACTAACGCTTACATATACGAAATGATCACACGTCGCTAATGTAATTCTTGGGGTTGCTTCTCTGATCTTTAAAAAAAAGTCAGCCTTCTTCATATTTAATTAGCTTTGCGGCTGAGCATTTTTAGAGAATGTGGAAATCAATCACAAGACCAGCTGTATCCTTAGTTGTCTCTTACGTCATGCTTTTTAAAATTCACTGTTACTCATCGTTTTTCACTATTAGGATGCAGGTAAACCATAGGCGCTTGTTTTTAATAGCTGTTTGTAAATATCCTAATTAAAAATTTAAAAGAAAGCCCTCTTCCGGTCTCCATGAGTTAACATGACCCTATCTGAGATAAAGCGCAGGTAGCTGCGAAATTACCCGGTGTGTAATCGCAGACCATCTTCCTTTCTCCTCCGCCCCTCTTTCGATCCCACCGTGTACTCAGATACTCACCGGTAAGTAACAAGGGTACGCGTGCAGGCATTTCACCCGCCAACCTCTGGTTCCCCTTTCTCTCGTGCTGGCGTCTGCGTCGTTTGGAATGTTCAGAATGCTAAATCTGGCTTGTTCCCTGAAGGCAACGTTCCAACATGGTGACGTATCAGATTATCGTATAGTCAACAGATGTATCTCTGGAAGAGTAGGAGGGAAGAATTTAGGACTGTTGTTTACCAGTATTTTCTTTTTGTTATCCTTTCAAAATAAAAATAAAAAATTTAAAAAAAAAAAAAAGGGGGGGGGGGGGGGTTACCTAATATGAGGAAAAAAATATCAACCCAAACGAAAAGCAGAGCCAATCAGTTTCACATTATCACACAAACGACAAGTTGACATTGCGACCAAAGAGCCTTCAGCAGCACACTGCATGAATATACAATGACCAAAAACACGAACAAATAGGCAAAAACACTGAACTAACGTGAAGTGTCTCCGAGAGGAATTATACATCTGTCTGTCCAGTTAAATATCTAACAAATAACTGAGCACCTAGTGGGGGTAGAAAAGAAAAAACGCGCAGTTACAACATGACTTTTCGACCGGAGTCTTTCTCAACAACTCACGATTTACGTGGTTTGCTTTGAGGAGCGGCCGATGGAAGTTGAGACATACTACCCCTTACCCCTCAAGAAAATTTGCAACGAGATTCCCCCCCCCCCCCCCCAAATCCTCCAACCATGTGTAGAAGTACTGTTATTCAGTATTTGTTAACGCATGTCATGTTATTTCAAATATATGATTATATTTATTTGCTATTCAAAACACAAAAAAAGATGATGACGTCCAACCCCACCAAGATGTCATACTGAGCGATAAACACCCGGTGAGACAAAAGTGCCACCATTCGGATGAGGATCACCAGGGGATAAGGTCCCAGAAACCCTGTTCAACCTATAGCGTGGGTTATATTAAGGCCCCCGGCAACAGCCAGGGCGGGGCTTCAAATCAACAAAAACTTGCGTCCGACATTAGGACGCAGAATTTTGAACAAACTGGACCTCTGCGCTTGCTGTTGAAGATGGGGAAAGAGCGCTTGAGGGAATGTCCAGAGTAATAACAAGATGCTGATTCTCAATTTGAAAATCAGCAGTCTTTTTTTAAACACATTCAGCGAGTAGAGAAAAGGGTAGTTGTGTAACACTGTCATTAACACTGACCACGACCGGCTCCAGCTGAAGCCGGTCTTACACTGACAGCCGATGGGAAATTGTGTGTTGTTGCCATTCTGACATTTATGCTCCTATTTCTGTACGGCTGTGGAGGGGATGAAAACGGGGTGTGTGAGGTTCTACCGACTGGTAGAGCAGTTAGTAATCTAATTTAGTAATCCAGTTTCTTGTCCGCATTCGGTCCTATTGGTTGTTATCAGAGGCGTATCACGTCCTTCCCTCACACGACTGCTGACTATACAAATGCTATGTGTGTTTAAATTATAATTTCCTCAGAGGTTGAGCAGGGTATCTGGGATTATTCTGGTTTTTGAACTGGCCTACATAAACATGGGACTGGTTCTATATACCACAAGGCATTTCAATGGGAGTTTAGCTATTCTGTTATGTTTATGTGTAGTTGATGGTCTGCTTTGCTATTCTGATCTTAAATAAATAAAATAAAAAATAAAAAGATAACATTAAAAATTAAGAAATTAGAAGAAGAATCGAACTGAAATCAGCTATAGCATTCATGAAAGAGGAACAGATAAAATGGTTTGGCCATCTGACTGGAAAGTCCTGGTACCAACTGCCACAGGGAGCCATGCTGAAGAAATATTACAATGAAAACAGAGCAAGGGCAAGAACACTTAAAAAATGAAACGACTTCATTAAGTCTGAAAGAAAAATACACAATATACAAAGACAGCACCCCCCCCCCCCCCATCCACCCTAAAAAAATGATGATGTAACTGTTGGAAGACAAGAAGTGAGAAGTGTATGTTTATGTTAAGTGCATTTGAAATTTTGTATAAATCTGGTAAGAAAGGATAAATGAGAGGAATAGAACAACATGTATTTAATCAGTGTGCTACTACAGGAACAGTCAACATCTATATCTAAAGACATTCTATATGAGGGATAGAACATCTATGGGTATTTCCAGTAGACTTTTATGTCAGTTCTCAAATCAGTTATCAGTGTTTTTGTAAACAGCTATAGATCTTTATGTTGATTGTTGCTAATGACTTGTGTGTTTTTTCAAAGAAATAGTTGTTATTTGCAGACCTTCTTGCACATTACCAACTGCCTATGGACAGTCTGGACAGGGATTTGATACTCAACCCTTCAGGCCTGGATTCAAGAGTCTACGGTAGTCCAGAACTGGTACGGGGTGTCAAGGCGTCAGCTCTCAAGCTTGATGGCCGATCCCAGTGGATCCGTGTAAGTGGTCCCAGCCATAAGGGAGAATGCTTTGGAGATCTTGACCGTTGCCAACAGGGTAAGCTGTATATCAGTGTACTAGATTTTTCTCTAAAGTAGAATTCTCAAAGACTATATAATGTAGATCAGGATGTCAAACTGTGGGCCCGCTGCAAACACATCTGCGGTGCACACAAAAGAAATATTTTGCAATGATTTTTATTAAATGACTTTAATTAGCTGTCATGAGTGGCCCTAATGACGACACAGATATGATCCATGTGGCCTTCGGGGGGGGGGGGGGGGGGGGGGGGGGGGGGGGGTGTGGGGGAGGAGATCCTTAATTTGGCATGCTTTGCGTTGATAGTATAAAGCAACCTAGATATTTTTGCGTTGATAGTATATAAGCAACCTGGATATTTTCTTCTAGATCGTATTCTTCTTCTTTACGTCCTCTTTTGCTGCTTCAGATGTCGAGGGAGATATAAGGTCCTGCTTCGTGCTCTTTGGCTGCTTTAACCATAGACACATTGTGGTGCTGTAGAGTTTCTCTGATGTTATTTCTCCATATTGTTCTTGGTCTGCTTCTTGTTCTATGCCGCTCTCCTCTTTTGGCATATGCCTTGTATGGTATAGCATCAGAAGGTATTCTCTCCAAGTGGACAAACTATGTGATTTGCTGTCTTTGTATGTAATTTAGAATTGGTTCTGTGCCAACTTTATTTCGTATGACCTCATTCCTGATTTTATCTCTTTTGATCACTCCTACAGTCTTTCTCAGACACCTCATTTCCACCGTTACTAATTTTCTTTTGTTTGGTTGTGAGTGACCACATCTGGCACTGACAGCATGGGGGGGGGGGGGGGGGGGGGAAAGGGGGGGGGGGGATATGCTTTGTATAATATGTCTCTTTGTGCTGATTGGGATTGTCTTATGCTGTAAGAGGAGAGCTAGCTGACCCAATACTTGACCTGCCTTATTGTATCATATGTCTATTTCTTCATCCAATTTACCATCTTCAGTGAATGTTTTTTTAAGACATTTAAACTGAGAAGCCTGTCTAATGTATGTGTGCTCTAATGCTATGTTTAAATTCTGCTTCTTTCTTCCTATTGACATTACTTCTGTCTTTTCGATGTTGATCCTCATATTATTTGATTTATATTCTTCATTCATGGATGTGAGATGCTGTTGCAAACTCATGGCTGTATTGATCGCACTCACTGGCCATAAACTACAGCAGAAAGTCCTGACTGTTCATCCCCTTCCAGACTTTACTGTTATTCCAAGACATGTGTGTGCATATCCGTTTGATAGATCTGGCTTATATATGTGCAGCACTGTGTTGTAGTGTATCCACCAGAGTGAGAAGGAACAACCAACAGCACACAACTAAGCCAGTAAAACTGATGAGCATGCAAAACTCAAGTTCTGGAATAATCCCAGAAGTGGATGAACAACCAGAACTTTTCACCAGAGTTAAAAGCTAAATAGAAGAAGAGGACGAATATTTCATGGATGTATTGTTCAGTTCATGAGTACAGTTTGACAGACATCCCTGCAAGAGCTATGGAGTTTGTGCTTTGTGCAGGTGACTAGTCATTCTGTGGTAATAAAGTTGATCCTCTCGACTTCAACTTTGCTGTTATGAAGATTGTGGGTTGCTTGCGGATTCAGGCCTTCAGTTCATGAGTGTTGGTATTGTGGAGATCCATACACAAGAGCAACTGAGTTTTGGGCTTCCTACCTCACTTTTTTGGGTAGGCAAACTGATGTTCTTTGGAGAGCAAGACTGAGACCAATAAAAACTAATGTAATGAAATCTCTCCTCTTTCCTTTAAATAATTCTTTTACTGCTCCCACAAAAATATTCCTATGATCGCAAATAGTGTATTTTAACTTTAACCAAATAGTTTTGTTATTGTTTTTGGCTTAAAACCCATTGATTGACTCACATGGTCAGTGTGATGTCAAACTGATCAGGTAAGACCCACAAAAAAAGGTTTCCTTTAGACTGTATAAGCTTTAGCCCTTTAAGCTAAATAAAGTGCCAACATTTGTTGAAACTACTTGATCCCCAAAACAGAGCAAACAAGCCGGGGTATAGTTCTTGGATGACCCCAACATATCAAATATTCACAGTGTGAAGGGCCCAGTCCTTGAGGGTGACATCTTGTCACTTCTGGAGTCTGAAAGAGAAATTTGAAGATTAGGCTAAAATATCTTTGAGAAATAGATTTTAAAAATGATAAACAATTCTTGACTGTACTGGATTACGTTGCTAAATAAATAAAATAAATTTAGAATTACATTAAAAAATTAATTTTTTGTGCAGGTTACTATGTTGGAATGTGGATTCAGCTGCAGTCTGTACCAGACCAGAAAACTGTGCTCATGTCAAATGGAGGTCACCTCAGTGATGGCCATGGCATTGCTATGAGCTACTCACAAAGTGGCCTGGAATTTGTTTTTAAGACTAAAAACGGACAGGAATGGAGAGTGGAGGAGCGAGATGTCTTACCTGGCAAATGGTATCATGTAGCTGCATCCTGGCACGCGGACAGAGGTAAAGTTTTGAAATGTAATTCTTTACATAATTTAAATTTAAAAAAATGCTCAGTGTTGAATGTGCCAGTTGTACACATATTATAAACCTTCAACAAATTAGGAACAAGGCTGCCAGAACTATGCTTTTGTAAAAATATCTTACAGTACATTTCAAAAGTTGTGCTTTAGTACTTTAACGAATATCTTAAAAACTCCTGTACGGATCAACACAATTTTGTGCATGTTGTCTTAGATTTCCCATGCCCTTATGATTTCATAATTTAGAATTGCACAGGTGCTGCTGTTTTCTTAAAGCAGTAAATTTCTTAATGTTTCCTAGGCTTTTATCTAAATATTTTATGTTTCCTTGGTTTATATCTACATATTTTCTGTTTCCTAGGTTTATATCTGAATATTCCCTGATTCCTAGGTTTATATCTAAATATTCTTTGTTTCCTAGGTTTATATCTGTACATTAATGGTCAGCAAGTTGCTCATGAGAGGTCACCTCGCCGGACCACAGAAGCTAGGGAAGATAGCCCACACATGTATTCAAGAGAATGAGATCTGTAAAACTGATGCACACGCAACACTCAGGTTCTGGAGCAGGACTGCAGTTCAGTAGTAGACGAGCAACCAGAACCTTCCGCCAGAGTTTACAGCTGGTGAACGCGAAGAAGAAGAAGAATAAGGTAACCAGTCTGGCACAATGTTCAGAATAATGTGTTCCTTTCTGCAAAGTAATATTCTTACGAGTTGTTACATCACTGCACAGTTTGTAAAGTAAAATAAAGGACCCTTTTCACACCTTCAGGCAAACTGGGCATATAGGGCTAGACCTAGATTTTATAGACCAATCTGCACTGAATGGGTAATGTTGTCAACATCACGCTGACCACCATTACTTCCCAGGACTTTACCTCAAGGCTGGGTCGACCTGGGAGCCAAAATCATTTTTTTTTATAGTTCTGCTTCATTAGGATCTGAACCTTTGATCATCAGATCTGCAGGCTAGCATCTAACTGCTTCACCACATCACTGCAAAAATGTCAATTAGTTTAGTCATTACGGTTCCAGCACCAAACGAGCTTGGCCCATAATTTCTCAACCGCCTATACGAGTGATTCCAGTTACAACCTGAGTCAGAAACACTGGATACTTCAATCGAATGCCGTAGCCATACAAAGTGTCCTCAGTCAGCAAAACACACACAATTTGATCTGGAAAAACATAAGGTGCATGCCTCCTTTAACACACTGCGAGACCAGGCATCATCGCTGAAAATCAACCATTCGACGAATAGCTGGGCGATGAGTAGATTAAAACTATTCCTGACCATTCTCCACATGTCTTCGGCCAAGTTGCAGCCACGGCCAGCAAATAAATAGCAGCTATAGCACACGCTTTGTCCCATGAGCACAACGAAGAAAAATACATCACCCATCATTGCTATTATGTACAAATCTGGAATAACTGATAATCACAGCTCATAGTGCAGCTAGGAGCACTAAACTCAGTAGCTCCGGCTGCAAACCGGACTTCCACAATCTTGCAACATTGAAAGTGCAGGAGAAAGGGCAATGAGAATGGTCTACATAAGCCGAGTTCTCAAAGTCATCCATTGCCTATCGGTGTCGGAACCGGAAGTTTAAAAAAGGTCAGTTGAAACAGCTAAGTAAAAAATTGTCATGTTTCTTGTTGTGATATAATTGGCTCAGTCCTGGCATATATAAATATATATGTATGTATGTATATATATATATACAACCTGGCAAGAAAGATGAACATCTTCTTCACTGCATCTTGACAAAACAACCAACAGCTGATGTTTGTATAACCTTGTTCTTGACAAAGCCAATGGAAGTAGCACTTTATATGTTTATATATATATATGTCACTGTAAGAAAGAAGTAATGTTGTACATAAAGAGATGAGAGATGCTGGAAGCAACTGAGACAATTTGAAAATTAGGGATAGATGAAGTAGAGGCAGAATCAGGATAGAAATATAACTGGATGCTCTAAAATTATGGCCATGAAGATTAAGTAGCCAACAAATATTTGTAGTTTCACTCCATCACTGATTTAAAAAAAAAAAAATGCATAATAGAATGTTGCTGCTCTTTGGTGCATGTCAAAAGTGAAGTGGTCATCTTTAAACTGTCATTATCACATCATCATGTTTGTCTGCAGCGTGATATCATATCCTTAAAAGTCTTAACAATATTAACAAACAATATTGACAGGTTACAAGACAATGGCTCGATTATTGTAATATCTATCACACTTTTGAGGTTTTCATTTGATGCTGCCTCATATAACAGACCCAGAACAACAAAACTTGGGATCTTAATTCCAATGATGTCTGGGGAAGCACATGATGATGATGATGATGATGATGATGATGATGATGATCTGTCACCACTGTACACTTCTGTAATAGTATATCCAGCAGTTGCATTAGGTTCTTTTTCAACCTGTTTACACTTTCTCTTGTTAGGCCCAGCGTTCCACTACTACTTACCAATGAACAGCATCAATGTAGACAGACTTGATGCAGTCGGCATCGATGCCAGAGTTCATGGCCAGCTTCAGACAGTGCCAGGAAAGATCAGACAGGCTGTGAGTTTTCTTGACTACGGAGGTTACATCAATCTGGGAAATTCATCCGAGAAATGTCTTGGAGATTTTGAAAAATGCAAGAATGGTTTTTATATATCATTTTTCATTCGGTGAGTGAATATTCAATGTGTTATTGTACATCATGACATATTTAGTCAGACTTTACTAGATAAATCTGACAAAGCCTCTATTTTACTTAGCACTTGTGAAATTAACATTTATTGTTTTGTTGTTGTTGTCATTTCGCTCACTTAACAGCTGAAATGAACTATATTTAAATATATATGTACAAGGAAAGTACAGTTGAGTCTGGATAAGCAGAAGTAGCAGGGACCTAAGAAAATGCTTCCACTTATCAGGATTTCTGCTTATCCAGACAGTACACACAATAGAGAAAATTGCCAGGACTAAGCTGGTCATGTCGACTTTACCGAAATTCGACTTATCCAAGTTCGATTTCAGTGGACTCGACTGTATTGTATCATTTACCACACATTGATGTAAACTGGATTCATGAGATAACCCCATATTTTTATAAACCGATCACCACTTTATAGGTAATTTGATCAACATCAGTATGACCATCTTTATGTCCCTGAAAATTTCTTGATACCCATTTTATGTTAGGTCATCTTAGAAGCCTTGATTAATTACGAGTTAGTGCCTCATCATATCTGTCGTCATCCATTTGTATCAACTGCTATTAATCTTACAGTCTGTGACGTGTGGCATTTGTTATTATGTCTGTTTGTGTCTGTCTGTTTTACGTACTGCCAATTCATGTAGTACGTCTTGATTTCTGGCCTAAAAATATTACAATCTATTGATTTTTTTGCAGAGTAAACTCACTTTATTAACATTTTTGCCCTGGAAACCTTTTGGAAATCTGGCATACACCCAGGATTTCCAGGAAAAAAAATGCATTAATTATTTTTTTTAAATGTATTTTTATATATGATACATTTTATTTTATGAATAAGTGAAAGGGAGTAATCAATAAACCTGAACAGTGCAGAGAATTACACCACTATAGTCAACTGAGCTTAAACAAATTATTCTTATGATGATTCATACTGTGACCTGACCCTGGTTACAAAAGGTTAAGAACAAATTATAGCATCATCCTAACTTGTTTTTTCAAAAAATGATCCACCACATTTTTCACAGCATTCCCCCCTCCCCACCTTTTTCCCCATGCTAATGTTTAGCAGTCGGCTCTGTGGCTATGTCGATGCGGACGCTTCATAATGCCGGGATGCTGGGTTCGATCCCAGCTGCCGGCAATGCGCCTTGCGTTGGCTTTGACAGTGGTATCAATAAAGCTGACCGTCCAGAAAGCAATGGCAAACTACTAGACGTAAATTGCCTAGAAAAGCCACACAACAGCCAGGGGCTGTTGGGGTTGGTTCTGCAATGCCCTGTAAAGGATACGCAACTAACCTAACCTAATGTTTAGCAAGTATAAACATACCCCAGTCCTCCTAAACACTGTCCAGGTGCAAACAGAACCAATGCCATTAACTAGACTCTCCAGTGTAGGAATGCCAGATTGGTGCCTTCTCAGGAATTAGTATAGAAATTTTCAGGTCTGGGTTTCATTCATTCAGTAGCATGTCCCTCGCGGAACCTCGCTGCCATAACAACCCTCCGGAAAACCTTCCTATCCTGAGCAAGATGTCCTGCGTCTGATACACCCATCTGGAGATCATCTGCCACATCCTGCACCCATCTTCTCCTTGGCCTTCCTCTTCCTCTCTTCCCAGGCATATACCCCTCCATTATTGTTCTCTCTAGACTTCCATGACGTTTCAAGTGACCAAAATATTTCAATTTTCTATGTTTTATTGTCTTTACTAGCCAACTCTCTTCAATATTCAGCTCTTGAAGTATGGATGCATTTGTTCTTTTCTGGGTTTAGAGGGTTAAAAACCATTTTTTTAATGATCTTTTAGAAGCATTTGGTTGAATAACAGGAAAATTTATATGCAATGAAGATTATTCTGTATAAACTGCTAATCTTAAAAATTACATCACGCACTTAAAAACTTTTAGAAAAATCATATACTCGTAAATGTTCATAAAGTAAATGTTTTATTTCCAGGTTTAATCGCATACAAAATGACAGAGGTTATATATTCAGTTCCCCATATGGCCTGGATATTTATCAAAGTGGAACACAACTTGTGGCAGCTGCTCAGGTAAGAAATAACTTTTTTTGTCTTTAATCTCTAGATGATTTTAACATTTCTTGTTTCCTTTTTAAGAGCACTCCTGTGACACAATTTTTGCCAACCCTGTGCCATCAATGCCAGAGTTGAACAATGACAGAAAAAGATAAAAGAAAAATTACAACTGAAATGAGATTCCTTTGAAGGGCTCTTAGTACTCTTAGGGATTTTATTAGGAAACCACAAGTGAAATGGTTTGGTCATGTAATGCGAATGCTAACGAACAGTATACGACAGCAAGCAGTGATGTACTGACCAGACCCGAATTGAAGCAGAGGCTGACCATGCAGACAATGGAAAGAGGGAATATGAGAGTCCCTGGGAATCTCAATTTAGGAAGTGCACAAACGGACACATTGTGAAAAATTATACTTTACCTTGACATAAGAGGATCAAAATGAAATGAAATGATAGTTCTTTGTTCCCCATTTCCCCCACCACCCAAACCCTTTTCAGATTTTTATAGATCAGTTGGTATACAAAGGATGACATTTTCAATCTTATGCTGGCAGCTTTGACATTTCGACACATTTCTTAGTTCTCTTTATCAGGTTAAGTATACGTCCATTTTTAATCTGTCGTCTACAGTTGCTGGTGTTCTTTCGTCCACAATTATCTCATGTTCGTCTGCCTTCAGTTGTTTGGTGTTCTTTTGTCTACAGTTGCCTGATGTTCTTTTGTCTACATTTGTCTAGTGTTCTTTTTTCTATAGTGTCTTGGTGTTATTTTGTCTACAGTTGTCTAGTATTCTTGGGTATACAGTTTCCTGGTATTTTTTGTGAGTCTACAGTAAGTAAAGTAAAGGACCTTTTTCCATGCCTTTCAAGTGTATTGGATTGGTAGGGCTAGGCCTATATTTTATAGACAAAACGATACTTGGTGGGTTTTGTGGTCAGCATCACGCCAGCTGCCTTTGCTTCCCAGGACTGTACCTGATACCAACTTAAGGCTGGATCAACTTGGGAGCCAAGGTCATTTAAAAAAACAAAAACACTCCAGCCCTCATCAGGAACTGAACCCACAACCTTCTGATCCACAGGCGAGCGTTTTGTTTACAGTGTCTTGGTGTTATTTTGTCTACAGTTGTCTGGTGTTCTTTTGTATACAGTTGCTTTGAGTTTTTTGGTTTCACGAACAAAGATAAATGATACATAAAATAAATGACAATTAGAAATGGCTTTATTTGATGTGTCCAATTGTTAGATTTCATACATTTGTCATTCTTATATTTGTATTATTATTATTATTTTTTTTTTCAAGAGAGATCGCAGCACCTGGGAGGCTCGCTACAATGGTCTCAACCCAGGAACTTGGTACTTTATTGAAGTGACCTGGTCTTTGAATGATGGACTTACTCTTTATGTAAATGGTCAAGAAGTTAATCGCCAGAAGCAGGAGAGCACTGCGAGGGAGCGAAGGTCTACAAGAGAGACAAATGCTTTTATTGGTAGAAGTAACGAAGGAGGAAGAAGGGAACAATTAACTGATGCAGTTATCGATGAACTGGACATCTATTATGGTACAAGAGAGATGCTGTCCCAGGTTGGCTTCATCAGAACAGGTAATAGCACATTATAATTTCTTGTGGCATGTGCTGTTAACCTTGCTGTGTTTCTACTCTTGCTGTTCGGCCAGGTATTATCACTCCAGTTAAAGGTGGCTGCAGTAGATCTTCAACCTCTACGGGTTGCTGAGTGAATTACGAAAGACGGTGAAGTTCATACTAGAGACAACATTGCAGTAAATGAAAGAAGAAGAAGAAGAAGATCTTCCACACTTTTTGTTTGCTATTTGCACACTAACAGACTGCAGCACACCCACTTCTTGATGTATCAAGGCATTTCTTTGTGTCCAGTGAAATATATTACATAAGATAGCTCCCAGAAACACTGACCAGTAAGAATGACAAAAATATTTCAAAATTTGTGTTTGTTTATTTAACTTTGCTCCATTTTAGTTTTAATGTAACAAATATCTAACTGATGAATCTGACTGTTAGTAAAAAAAAAACAAGAGAAATTAGCTCCAGATGTGCCAAAGCTAATCAAGTAATGGGTCAACTATCTCCTCTGTTGACACACAAGCAGATACCTCAGAGTACTAAAGTGAATCTTATCAGAACTATTTTTTGGCCAACATTATGCTATCAGTGCCAAACGTGGACACTTACATTCTCCAATGAACGTAAAATTGTGACAACAGAGATGAAATGCCTTAGAAGAGCTGCAGGAGTTTCAAGGAAAGACAGAATACAAAATCATGAAATCAGACGAATGCTAGGAATAAAGCCAGTCTTACAGGTCATCAAAGAACAACAAATAAAGTGGTTTGGACACCTAACAAGAATGCCCTGGTACAATCCGCCACAGCGAGCCACACTAAAACGTTACAACGGGTATAAAGTGAGTGGAAGACCTCGGAAAAGATGGAGTGATGGCATTAAGAACAGCCTTACAGAAATGAACATCAGTCTTAATAGTGCTCTTGACAGAGCTCATCAACGAACATTACATCTTCCCCCGACACTTCGATGAGGTACAAGGTGGAAGAGAAGAAGAAGAAGAAGAATAAAAAAACAAAAAACTGCAAATTACTGCCTTTAGATACCACTTTTGCAGTGTAGGCAATTATATATGTTTTTTGTTTCGTAACTGTGAAAATATTGATTTGTTAAAATATGACCTCAGTAAATTATGACTACAATTTATCAACAGGACAGCCAGAATACTTTCACTTTGACTTTGAGGATATCAGACTGGACCGCATTATTCACGATAAAATGGTCATAACTCTGACAGGGGACGCCAGTCAGACTGCTGGAAAACTGGGTAAAGCTTTGACGTTCAGTGGAAACAATGAGTTTGCTGATTTTGGTGACCATAGAGCGAGCTGTTTTGGCAACCTTGATCATTGCCATCATGGAGTTCTATACTCTCTGTGGCTTCGACCAGACAAACTACGAAATAAAATGTACTTTCTTTCCAGCGGTGATAATGGGGTGAATCTAGTATACAGGTAAGGACTGTCTCTGTTATCAAACTAAAGGTTGTTAGTTTATATGCACAGCATTTTTCAGACTCAACAAGAATCCAGTGTAATTTGCTTTTGAAGAAGGGTAGGCATGGGGATGGGGGTTTCAAGTGGTTAACTTCACAAATTCGCTTTTGGTGCTCCAAGCCCTCAAAAGTAGTAAACTCCTTCTCCCCAGATCGGAATGTGGCAAAGTGACTGCCTAAAAGCATACTGTACTCCAAAATATGTGTCACAAAATAACAAAACATCATAGCTTTTTGGTTGGAAATTTGGTGTTTGTACAAATATCAATGTGTCACTGTTGCTTGTGATGCTGTGGGATAGTGTAGGTAAGTATACAGGTGTACACACACGTCATGGTGGATGTTCAGTACGTCTAACTGACCACATAGTAAGCTCAGCTGGTCATCTCTGCACAGTCTACATCAAGCTGAGGTGGTGGTGTTGCTTTGATGGAAAATGCAGCACAAGATACTACACTTAGAGAAGTGGCCAGAGGTGTTACTGTCAGTTCATGGAAGATAAAGCAATGGAGACTTCCAGTCTAAAATGGAGTATTAGGCATGGCAGAATGTTTAACTTCAAAGTTATGTTTGCTTTCAACAGAGCTTTGCTAATGCAGTTTCCACATATGAGAGGTAGTCTATGGTTTCGCTGCCTCAGCTACTGAGTTTAGAGTTTGGTGCAGCCCTGTGAGCTGTATTTTTCATGTTAAATGCCTTTCATTTGTGCAGCTGTTGTGTCGCAGTATTCAATATGGCGGGTAGCGGTTTTACATGTGAGCTGGTCATATAACTTACATAATAATTCTATGTGTGTTTAGCCAGCTTATTGTTCCCGACTACTTCCATCAATGGCAAACTGCATTTGTGGGGCGACTGTTGGCTTTGGCATCTCTAGCAACTAACATGCATTTACTTCTTCTTCTTCTCTTCCACCTTGTACCTCATCGAAGTGTCGGGGTTGGGGGGGGGGGGGGGGGGGGGGGGGGGGGGGGGGAGATGAAAAATGTTCGTTGATGAGCTCTGTCAAGAGCACTATTAAGACTGATGTTCATATCTGTAATGCTGTTCTTAATGCCATCACTCCACCTTTTCCGAAGTCTTCCACTCGCTCTAAACCTGTTGTAACGTTTTAGTGGAGCTCGCTGTGGCAGATAGATGCATTTACTGTGTGCGCATATTTATGGACTGTTCCAGGACTAATTGCTTCTTCACCAATTTTTTAAATGAGACAATGAAGAACATTTCATTTGATTTTTTTACTGGCACAAGAACGGAGCAAGTATGGGTAAACCTGATTGCAGTGAAATTGAAACTTTGACTAAGACTTAGTACTGTACTCCAGTGGGTGCCATCCCACTGTGGTATACCATGAAATGAAACCAGAGATAAATGTGCTAAGGAAGGGCAGAATGTGAACAGATGAGAATGCAGTAACATACTTTGAGTAAAGAAGGACCACCTTATCTATCTGTCTGTCTGTTGGGCTATCTATCTTTCTATCTATCTCTGTCTGAAAGTATATGTGTGGGTATGTATGAGAGGGTTTAATTCATATAAGTGGTTGTGTGGTATGTATGCATGTGAGTATGTATTTATACAAGTATGTATCCACGTATGTATATGAATATGTGCATGTGTGAGTGAGTGAGTGAATGTGTGAGTGTGTGTGCATGCTTTTACCATCCATGCTTCCCCCCCCCTTCCCCCTGATAATCATATTATGCAATGCATATTGTTTTATGCAGATAACATGCTTTATTGATAAAATACAACTGCTGAATGAAAGATGAATATTTGAAAAGGCCGAATGTAAGACCGGCCTGCATGCCCAATTTGTGAACCTTCAAAAATAAAGTTTGTTCATTCTTTCAAAGTAAACAGAATATGGACAGAGATGACTACCACTTACTTGACTAGCAACGGCAGGTCATCATTCTACACCTCAGGACAGGCTATAACAAACTTAACAATCCTTTGCACAGGCAGTGTCTGAACAGTTTTCAACTAAGCTCATGTGGGCAGCGTCTGAACAGTTTACAACTGAGCTCATGTGGGCTGTTTGTGTAAACTGCAGAACATGTCCTGCAAGTTTGCATTTTAATTTAAAGTTTAGTTAGTTAACTGACAGATTATCATCATCTCACATCAAATCATTCAGTCCATAAGTGCTCAGATCCCCTCTTCAGTATCTTTCCCAGCGTTTAGTGGCTTATGACCCCAGTTCTGTGTTGGTTTACTATTCTTCTTTGGGCTCATATGTAGTGCTCTTGTCTGGTGCTCTTAGTTCAGGCCTTTAAATTAAAAGTGTATTTCATAAAAAGGTTTTAAACATATTTTTTCTGATTGTGGCTAAGTCGAGGCGAACGCTTCACTTCGTAATGCCGGGATGCCAGGTTTCATCCCAGCTGCGGGCAATGCGCCTTGTGTTGGTTTCGACAGTGGTATCAAGAAAGCCGACCGTCCAGAAAGCAATGGCAAACTACTGGATGTAAATTGCCTAGAGAAACCACACAACAGCCAGGGGCTGTTAGGGTTGGTTCTGCAACGTCCTGTAAGGGATTGGCAACTAACTAACTGTTGTAAAGTTTAACTTGTTCACTCTATTTTTTTTTGCAAAAATGTCTAATAATTCCTTAACAAGTGGTTTCAGACTTACTTATATTATGTTTAAGTCACCAAATTATTATGTTTACCAGAGGACAGAAACTTCATGCAAGTGCTTTGACGTCTGCAAGGCAGTGGGAAGCGTCCACTTCAAAAATTGATGCTGACAGATGGTACTTCATTGAAGTTTCCTTTCATCCACTCCGTGGACTTAGTCTGTACATCAACAATGAACTGGTAGCTGAAGATATCAAACCCAGAGCCCGCACTACTTCACCAGCACAGATACCAGAATATAACAGGTAGTGTTGTAGTTCTTCATTGCGGATGTGAGGAAAAACCGCAGATAATTTTAATCTTGCTATAGATGCGCCTATACTTGGATGCCATGCAGATCAGATACTGGTTGGATGACACAAGAAACTTAACACTGGAGTTTAAGGCAAAATGGAAAATAAGAAAAGATTTATTCTGAAAATATATGTTGTATTAGGTGTGATTGAAACCACAAAAAGTGAAGGAATACAAAGATGAGGACTAGTTATTTTATTAGACAAGAAATTGCATATTTTTAACTTGTCTATAAAAATGCACCAGTGTTAAAAATTGTGAAAAATATGTTTTAGATTTATTACTTAAAAGTGGTACTAGGATTATACAAAGAAAAAAAGTTTTTTTGAATCAGTTACAGAATATGTGACAAACAGAGCCTAAACTAAAAGTCACTAGAAAGATTATCACCATTTCCACAAAAATGAATTATTAGAAATGTGGAGACTCCCCACGGATGTAACAGCCTGAAAAACTATTTGTGCAACAAGTCAAAGACATAAGCAACTACTGCATATGACAGTAAACTGATATTGCGGCTACTTCTGAACATGATGAAAGAGATTAGATTAGATTCACATTAACTCAATTTTAGAACACATACGGTGGAGACAATGACAGTCTTAAGCTGTGGTGTGTGCTCACTTGCAATATCTTCTTCTTCAGCATTCCGAGCCCTTGACTGTTGATAATGAAGAAATTTGTTCTGTCTTTACTATTTAAAAAAATGCAATACATGTTTTAGTACAAGTTTTTTTCATAGGTTTTTTTAAACAACGGATCAACATCATAGCACACGGGTAGTAACCCATAAGTGCTCCGATTTTCTTCTTATTTAAGTCCGAAGAAGCTAGGCACAGTGCACAGGCTCTGTAGCACCAGTGAGGATCCTGAAATACTTTGGGTAGATTTTTAACTCAAAATTTTGCCCGGGCAGCGCTGTTAGGCTACTCTTTTCGATTTCCAACCGCCAAGGGATTTTTTACGTGCGCAACAATGTACACGGCGTCCGATCTCACTACCCAGAGACCAGGGGGAATTACTAGAAGTCCAAGTCTGTGTGAAAAAAATCCCAGCCCTTACCGGGGATTGAACCCAGAACCTCCAGCGCTCGAGGCGGACACCATGCCTTGAGACCATGCAGCTCCCCCCCCCCCCCCCCCCATGTTTCAGTACTAAGGAGACGGTTACTTGGACTCAGTCTGTTATAAGTTCTTACTTAAATTAATCAATGTTTAAGTCTTATTCTTCTTCTTCGATCTCTCTGTCAGAAAACTTATAGTCCATATCTCCTCGTGTACCATACAGTTTTTTCTTCTTCTTCTTCACGTTCACCAGCTGTACACTCTGGCGGAAAGTTCTGGTTGTTCGTCCACTACTGAACTGCAGTCCTGCTGCAGAACCTGAGTGTTGCGTGTGCATCAGTTTTACAGATCTCATTCTCTTGAATACAGATTTTTGGTTCCTTGCCTCTCCGGCAGATGCACTCCGACTTCAAAGGAAGCTTCCCAATTAGTCGACTCTTACGACATGCTTTTGGGGAGGCATTGGGTCTGTTCTTGTTTTCCCCTACAATGGGGCCCCGGAACCCACACGGGGGGCCATACAGTTTTGTTTTCATTGTGGTTGGAACAGGCAAGATTGCAACTCTGTTGGCAGCATACAGTTGACAGTGTTGGAGCAAATGTGCAGCATTTTCTTGTGCCACGCTACAGGGACACATCTCTGTGTTTTTTTCTACACCAAAATCTTTAAACCTATGTTGATAAAGTCTGTTGTGCCCTGTCCTTAGTCTGAATATAAGACACTGTCCCTCTCTAGAGAGGCGATAAAGCGAGTCTTCAGAGAATTTAGTGTGTGTACCCTTCTTGCCTTTTCTCAAAAATAACCTTGGCTCCCAGGTTGACCCAGCTATGAGTGGGTACCGGGTGCAGTCCCAAGAAGCAAAGGCGGCCAGCGTGATGCTGACCACATTACCCATCTTGTGCCGATTGGTCTATCAAATATAGGTCATGCCCTATATGCCCAAAGGCGTGAAAAAGGGTCCTATACTTACTACTTTACTTACTTACCTTTCTTGCCACCTTTCTTAGATACAAGGTTGTGTTAATGTCTTAGTCTCTTGGTGGGTTAAGTCCCTATTTGATTGTACCATGTCACTGCCACTTATGGTCAATGTGTCTGCTATTTCATTACCTTATTTTGGTCTGATTGGCTAAAGTAATAACATTATGGGACATAAAAGAGTTTAAATAACAATTTGGGTAGAATGGTGGGTAGTAGGTCATCAGTGTTTGTCTGAGTCAGTAGTATGTCAACTGAAAACAGCAGTAACCTCATGAATTGTTTGGCACTGAATTAGTTAATTTACTAATCTTAAAAATAGGTATTTGTAATTCTATAACATTATTTGTTAATGTTTTGACAAGTTACGCGAAAAGAGTTTTTACTATTGCTGTACAAGATAACAGTTGTCTTGGATCCTCACACTGATGAATGTTAGTTTTTCTAAAGGCTCTACCCCTACCCCCCAAAAAGGCAAAAAATAAGAATAAGATTACTGCTAAGATTGTAAATAACTATGTCTTCTTCTTCTTCTTCGCGTTCACCAGCTGTAAACTCTGGCGGAAGGTTCTGGTTGCTCGTCCACTACTGAACTGCAGTCCTGCTCCAGAACCTGAGTGTTGCGTGTGCATCAGTTTTACAGATCTCATTCTCTTGAATACAGACTGTTGGTTCCTTGCCTCTCCGGCAGATGCACTCCGACTTCAAAGGAAGCTCCCCAATTAGTCGACTCTTACGACATGCTTTTGGGGAGGCAGTGGGTCTATTCTTGTTTTCCCCACAATGGGGCCCCGGAACCCACACGGGGGAATAACTATGTCAATATTTAATAATAATATCTTTTCACACATGATTAATTTTTACATAAATTTTTTCCCCCCACATGAATAGATTTTACTTGGGACGGGGAAACGTAGACATGGCAGATTCAAGGTACGCTGCTGCCACCTATGATGAGATGGATGTCTGGTACGCAGACCGGGACTATGCCTCAGCCCATGGATATATCCAGAGAAGTATGCATAGATAAATATATCACTGTCATCAGTAACAATATTAGACTCTATGTTCTTGTGTGATCACCAGCTGTGGAAAGTCCTGGCTGGTCATCTGTGTGTGAACTTTGCTCTTGTTCCAGGAAAAGTGATGTGTGCACAGCCATTTTACTCAACTGTCATATTGCATGTAGACTGTTGGTTCTTCACTTCTGAGGCAGATGAACTACAACTTTGAAGAAAACTTTACCCTATTTGTTTTGTTCTAAGATGCCCTAGTAGAATGCATTTTGAATGAAAAATTAACATCATGGCACTCAGCACCCTCCCATAAGCACTCCATCCCCATCTTTAGCATCAAATAAAGAGTTTCAATATGAATGCCCTAGTAGAGTTGAAGATAAGTCTTGAGCAGCAGGAACCTTGGTTCTGGTACAGATAACAATGCAGTTTTAAGAATTACCATAAAGGTCACAGTATATCTCAGTTTACTTAAATAATGGGTATTGGGCAGGTTTTTGTTGACCACTGGCTAAAACAGAAAACCCCCGAAAAAAAAGTAGGACATAACTGTATGAAGACTAGGCCATTTCCAGGAGTTGACAGTGGATCTAAGAGGGATTGTAACAACATGAGAATTAGGTTAGATAGTGAGTGCTATTCTGAAAATACTTGAACTATAGGGAAATATATTCAAAGCAAGAAAGATCAAAGATACTTTTGTCTGTGGCACTTGATGGGATCAGAGTGGGAATCTTCAAATAACTGAGTTAAATGAGTGATTGCATTAATGAAAGTGAATGATCTTAGCAGAGTGAACCTGGCCACATATATTGATTGTGTCCTCTGAGCAATTGTGATGTGAGAGCTATGTTTGTTCAAGACTGCTCATTTCCAGGACAACTTACTTTGTTAGTATAGTGCAGTGTTGGTTGTGTTGCCTAAAAGTCAACCCTGGATGACTGTTAGGAACACCTGACTGACAAACATTGCACAGCATGTAATGGAAAATAAACTAGACTGGCAAAAAGAATTTGTTTGATTATCCATCATGGAATCCTGTTTGTTTCTGTCTGTTTTGTTAAAGCCAATGAGACAAAGCAGGTATGGTTCCAGAGAGGTCTATTTCCAGTGAGGTGTAGCTTGGGCAACCTAGTGAGCAGCTTCACAGTGCACCAGCCTAAATAGTGAGGCATCTTTGCACCCCAGTATAAATCTGTGACATTAGCTAATCGTTAGGGTTAACCTTGTGAGATGCAATTTTTCTTTATTAGGAAGCCCTGCTTTGGCTCTTGCCAGGGGGGCAATATAGCCTGACCATAAATATGGTCTAATGGCTGAACGTGGTTTCTGGGACCTCTCCACGGGTGATCTTCATCCGCATGGTGGCACTTTGTGTCATCAGGTGTTTATGGCTTGTTTGATGTCCTGGTGGGGTAAAAATCTACTACTACTACTACTAATGGTCAGGGACCAAAAAATATAGGAAAAAAAAATGTTTAAAAATAAAAAAAAATTATAATTTGTGATTCTTCATAAAGCGAGTCCTTTGTAGAATATGGCTCCCATCATGTCTTGAATGAAAACCACTTGGTTCCTTGCTAATTTCCCTGCCTTATGCATTGTCATCAGCAATTCCATCAGTTTGTTCAATAGTGAATATCTAAAAATGATGGAATTTTCAGTAAATCAGTCAATTATTGATCTGTCAGTCAGTTAAAATCACTTTTCCCTACCTGTGTTGTTATTCTGTTAATGGAAATCAATTATGGTTTTGTCTAGAGAAAGAGTTTTCTGTCTTTGGTTGTCTGCAATCAAACTGGTTTCACTTTTATATACTTGGATAACTCACACTCCCATTATTACAAGGCATAGTTATCTTGAGGGAAAACAAAGTTTGCTGCTTAAATATGGATGTGTTATAGAAAGCAATGAAACAATGCAAATTCACTTCTACCTCATAATAATATCATTTGTTATAAAGCCCTTGAGGCAACTGAAAAAGCTTGGGAAATAAATTCACACAAATTGATCAGCACTGCAAACAGGACGTTACCATACCTCTTCTGTTCCCTTACTCAGAAACCATCAAATGGTTCTCATCGAGGCTTTTCCCATTAGAATTAAGTTAAAGATGGCACTCACCACACAAAATGTCTATTGGGGGGGGGGGGGGGGGAAGAGGGGGGGGGGGGAGAAGAAAAATTAAATTTGGCAGTACAATTATCAACTCTTAGAAATAAAGGTATGGTTCTCCTACTGGCAGTGCAACTGGCAGTTTGGTCTAAAGAATATCCTCTTTCCCCCTACTTATGAGAAAGCACACAAATGGACAACATTCTTTGTGTTTCTCCAGACCGTCCTCAGAATTTTATTATTGACTTTGAAGAGCTAATGGATGAAGACAGACTCTACCATCCAGTGCTGCCAATCAGGCTCATCGGCAGACCAGTACTAGCTCCAGGAAAGGTAGGTGACACTAACACTGCCATATGTTGGAATCTGAATTAGTTTCCATCACCTTTCTTCACTACCATTTGTTTTTATTTTGTTTCATTTGTTTACATATTATTTTAATGTCTGAATGTGACTTCTTCAGTAATTTGTGTGTGCTTGTGTGTGTGTGCGTGCCTGCATGCATGCAGAAAATAGACAAAAGACAAGTGTTTTGCATTGTGTTGATGATAGTGGCTAGTATAAAGAAGAAGGAAGTGGGGCATGAGGTAGACCAAGAATGACATGGAAAGACAAAATCAGAGAAAGTCTACAACATTACGGTGTGTCTGTGGTTGAGGTGGCCAGAAAAGTCAGAAGTAGAACCCTATGGCTCCCTCGACACCCGATAAGGTACAAGAGGAAGTGAAGAAGAAGAGGAGGAGGAAGATAGTGGCCTTTGTCACAGAGTGTCAGTAAAGACTGAACAGCATAATAAGTAAATAGTGACTCAAATAGTGAATGCAAAAGTGACTGAAATAGTGACTAAAATAGTGACTGAAACAGAGACTGAAATAGTGAATGCAACAGTGACTGAAAAAGTGACTAAAACAGTGATTAAAACAGTGACTGAAATAGTGATTGAAACAGTGACTGAAATAGTGAATGCAACAGTGACTGAAATAGTGAATGCAACAGTGACTGAAATAGTGAATGAAACAGTGACTGAAATAGTGAATGCAACAGTGACTGAAAAAGTGACTGAAATAGTGAATGAAACAGTTACTGAAAAAGTGACTGAATTAGTGATTAAAACAGTGACTGAAATAGTGAATGCAACAGTGACTGAAAATGTGACTGAAATAGTGAATGAAATAGTGAATGAAACAGTTACTGAAAAAGTGATTGAATTAGTGATTAAAACAGTGACTGAAATAGTGAATGCAACAGTGACTGAAATAGTTAATGCAACAGTGACTGAAAAAGTGACTGAAATAGTGAATGAAACAGTTACTGAAAAAGTGACTGAATTATTGATTAAAACAGTGACTGAAATAGTGAATGCAACAGTGACTGAAATAGTGAATGCAACATTGACTGAAATAGTGACTGAAATAGTGACTGGATTAGTGACTAAAATAGTGACTGAAACAGAGACTGAAATAGTGAATGCAACAGTGACTGAAAAAGTGACTAAAACAGTGATTAAAACAGTGACTGAAATAGTGATTGAAACAGTGACTGAAATAGTGAATGCAACAGTGACTGAAATAGTGAATGCAACAGTGACTGAAATAGTGAATGAAACAGTGACTGAAATAGTGAATGCAACAGTGACTGAAAAAGTGACTGAAATAGTGAATGAAACAGTTACTGAAAAAGTGACTGAATTAGTGATTAAAACAGTGACTGAAATAGTGAATGCAACAGTGACTGAAAATGTGACTGAAATAGTGAATGAAATAGTGAATGAAACAGTTACTGAAAAAGTGATTGAATTAGTGATTAAAACAGTGACTGAAATAGTGAATGCAACAGTGACTGAAATAGTTAATGCAACAGTGACTGAAAAAGTGACTGAAATAGTGAATGAAACAGTTACTGAAAAAGTGACTGAATTATTGATTAAAACAGTGACTGAAATAGTGAATGCAACAGTGACTGAAATAGTGAATGCAACATTGACTGAAATAGTGACTGAAATAGTGACTGGATTAGTGACCGAAATAGTGACTGAAATAGTGATTGAAGCAGTGATTGAAACAGTGATAGAAACAGTGACTGAAACAGTGATTGAAACAGTGACTAGAACAGTGACTGAAAGAGTGACTGAAATAGTAACTTAACCCTGTGGTTGTTCACATAAAATTATACCTGTTTATTTTTGTGCCCTGATGAATGCCTGTTAGCTGATTAGGTATGGGTGACCTGAAAGATAAGATCAATTTTAAAAATATACCTTGATGGGATTCAGACATGTAGGGAGTAATCATTAAAATTATGTTACATTGTTTAATGCAGAAGTAAGGAGGACTTTTTGAGGGAGAGAATGATGTGTATAATCAGTGTGCTCTGTAGGAGTCTGTGGGTATGCTTGGTGAGCTGTGATGGTGATTTTTAAATTAATAAACAGTCCCAAGCATGATATACATTTATAGACTGACTGTAATCTAGGGCTTTTTCCTGACTGACTGTAATCCAGGGCTTTTTCCTGACTGACTGTAATCCAGGGCTTTTTTCCTGGTGGTATACAGTACTGGCACCTTTTTGTTTTTTAGGCATCAATTTTTGTCTTTTTAGGGAGCATCCATACCTTTTTTTAATGATACTTTTTGGTGAGTACTGGCACCATTTCATCTAGAAAAATAAAGCCCTTTTATAATCGATCTAGTGTTACATTAACCCCCTGTGTCAAATTTGCTACTTCTATTTTCCTGTTCTGTAATGTTATTTTTTGAACTCTTAATAACAAATGTTGATGAGTTAAAGAATAAAAAAGTTAATGTAACACATGCTTGGTGCCAAAAGGGTTAAACTAATAATGCTTCCGTTGACTGTCTCAGGTGAATAATGCGCTGGAGTTAAGTGGACGAGGTCAGTATGCAGATCTTGGTCGACGTGAAGGTGAATGTTTCAACAATCTGGCCAAATGTAAAAATGGCATCACCATAGCGTCTTGGATGAAGTAAGTCATTGCCAGGATAGCATAAGTCAGAAATAAGTGCTTTCTGTTGTTTTTTTCTTCTCACATTTTGGCTTAGCATGGAAAGGTAAATAATAGACTATCAATTGCATCATTCATTCTACACAACAAAGTGTTAGGTTATGTGGGGAGCCAGAATACTGTAAGGCTGTTTGAATGTTAGTTATGACTAAGTGGCATCATGATAGGCTTCTCTCCAAGACTGTGGAAGGATCCAGAACTGACATCATTACATGTTCATTACCACAGATGTTATTGTTGATTCCTCTGTAGCCGGTAATGGGCAGCCCCTACTGATGATGCCAGTTGCAACTTGATCACAAGCCCTCTGCCTTAATGAAAATTATTCAGACCCGATGCTAATTCCCCAGGGAATCAACCTTTGTTTGTAAAGTACTCTGTTTTATTGCACTGACCAGTTTGTCCAGAGGGCCTTCAGCACTTCCACTTTATCATGAATAAGTTAGACTGTCTAGAGGTGTGACAGCAGTTGAAATTTTATACTGCTAGTTACCCATTACATTCACATGTATCTAGATTAAGAGAACTCCAGTACTGACCTTGTACATCCCACCGGTTACTGACCTTGACTTGGGACCTCCTATCAAGAAGTCTAACTCACTATTCTTTGTCCGATTTCCATGCAGTGAGGTATATTGAGCACGCTGGTCTTGCTTTATATTTCTATAGACCAAATGACAGTCTATGGGCAAAGTGGTCAGTAACTTTTGCTTCCTGTGAGATTTTTTGATCCCTGTTTTATGTTAGGTTTACGTGACAGCCTAAGTAAATTAAAAAAAAAATTATCTTTGATGGTGAATAAATCTTTTGACAACCAGGCAGGCAGGAAAATGTCAGCCACTGCACCAGTACACTCTTATTATTGGTATTTAAATCATTTTTTTTTTCTGTTTGTTTCAACGAAGTGAGAATTTTAAAAAGTATGTAATTTTAAAAAATATCATTCATCAACGTCATCAATTTCCACTTTTTCTGTCAAGCAGCTTGGGGAGGAACAGTTTGAAATCCATAGCTAAATGTGTAGCGTTGGCTACTGTCCATGTAGAAGGCCTTTAATGTCATCAGTGCATATTTTCCTAGGGTGACCTCTTGCTTTCACATCAGATCTTTTCATGTGTAGCGCCTGTCTTAGTAGTTTTTGTGGCTACATTTTAATTAGATGACCAACCATTCGATCTTCTCTCTTTGTAATTAATCTCATTATTTGTCTAAGAAGTAGATTATTTCTTTTGCAGGTTCAATCGATTAATTAAAAACAAAATTATTGGTTCCTTATCCAATTCTTTATCGTTTACCCAGTTATTTGTTAACAATCTGATTATTTCTAAAAGAAACAAATTCCTTCTTATGCAGGTTTCGCCGGTTTGAGAATAACATGGTATTCTTGTCAACTGGAGAAAATGGAATTCTCATGATCTACAAAGATGGCTACCTGAGAGTCAGTGCCAGTGGCAGAGGTGCTATCAATCTACCAAGGTAGTAGGATACTGCTTCCTGTCCTTTGTTTTTGTGTGTGCGCACGCGTTCACACATTAATTAAAGAAAGCAATAATACATGCTTCCAAATGTATGTTGTGTATAGTAAATTACCTAATTGTGGATTTTATTTCGGTGAAATTTGATAGTTGCGTTTCTTCATAACATTATAAACTAACTCCAGAGTTTTTGGTCATACTACCACCCTACATAAAACCAGTAGCAAAAGAAATAACGTATAGATTACTTTTTAATTTTACTCCCACTAAAAAGAGAATAGCAAAAATTCAAAAATGTAAAATACCATGCAAACTGTGCTCAAACAACATACAAGAGACAGAAGAACATATATTTTATGAATGTACAACAATACAGACTAAACCTCAAAATCTCAAAACCATCATCTACAAACACAGCAACACAAGCAGACATATACAAAGCAATATTTTTAAACACAATTTCTAAAACAACAAGAAAAAATCATGAAAAAGTTTTCACTGCACTGGCAGAATACAGAGCTTTAATCTGGAGGTACAGGTGTAAAGCAGTGCATGAGGATAAAAAGTATACCTTCCATCATCTTCTGCACCTCTTCCAGTGCCTATGGACAAAAATATTCAATTACCAAACACCCTACAAGTAGACACATTATTATATGTCTTTACTAGATATACTTCTCCTTCCTCTCTCTCTCAAGCCCTTTTCACATACAATTATCTTCTCTTCCTCCCTTCCTCTCTATCCTCTATCACATATCATGTTTATTTGAAATGTATTTACAAAAATTATGTGTAATAAATGTACATAACCAGCAGTTATGGCCAAAATAATCCCCAAAATACCCCCCCCCCCCCCCCCCCCCAATTTGAAATAAAACTGAAACAGACACCCCTCATTCGCCTATTGTAAATAAACAAACCCTTCTTTAGACAATTTAAACATGTTTAAAATTATAACTTAGTTTGGTAGTTTACCATGACTTCACATTGGTGACTAAATTTACATTAAAAAAAAAAAAAATATATAAAGATATAAAAAATGAGTCATCAATAAATGTGAACAATGTGAAGCATTAAATAGAATACATTCCCTGACACCTAAAAAAAACCCTGTCTGGTGGTGGGGGCCTAATACACTGACCTAATGACCCCTATCATTGAGACTGACAAGAAAATTTGACATCCAGGGCTTTAAAGAAAGCTTTTAGTCTGAAAGGAAAACCCACGTAAATGCTTGTTTTAGTTTATGTATTCATTTCTTGTCCTTCTAAACATGTGTGCAGGTAGGAACAAGCTAATATCATTAACTATACATGTAAAAACAGGTCACTATTGGGGACAAGCTGCAAAAGTGATATTTACGGTGAAACTGTACCTAACTGGAAGTGTCAATTTTATGGCTTTTTAGGGCAGAAAGGTTAAATCATTTGCCTCAAGCTTCAAAGAAAATGCTTTCAGTTTCAGACTCTGCCCTTCAGTTTAAATCTTCAGAATTTGCTTTCTTTTTCCTATCTGTATAGGTTAGAAAGTGGCCGGTGGTATTTTATTGAAATCACATGGCATCCCGATACAGGCCTTGAGGTTTACATTGACAATGAATTGCATGGAAAATCTGGCAAGGAGTTTGTGATTTCAAATGGTGAGGGAAATTTCTACATAGGGCGTCCCAATCAAGAAGATGTGCCCGATGACAGATATTCTACTGGCATCTTTGATGTTGATGAAATGGAAATTTGGTATGGTAAAAGAGATGATCTTTTGGCCTTTGGATTCATCAACCGAGGTACGTGAAAATGTTGTATGATAATACTCTTGTTGTAAGTTTGCTGTAACACAATGCTTTAGCTGCCTGTGATGTAAGAAAATTAAAACAAATAAAAGCTGAACTAATAATAAATATTAGACAGTTATATTTAGAATTAAAAATGAAATGGACAAGACAAATCACTAATCTTTATGTTAGCATAGCCATTAATTTGAAACATAATTTCTCTGTCTCTGCCTCTTTCTCTGACATAAAGACATAAACAAGATTTAAAGAACACATGTGTTAATTTATTGCCATAAATTTTTTCATTTTATCGTGTGAGTTAATACTATAAAAACAAATAAAGCAGAGTAACAAATGAATCTGTTTTGCTGGAATACATAAAATATGGCAAAATCCTGGAGGATCTGAATTTAAGACTATTGTTCAGGAAAAGCTATACCAATCACAAAGCAATCCTGTCTTTACATTTATGATTGTGCCTGCCTATAGCTGTAAGGGTTTTAACTTAGTTTTGCAGGCTTGATAATACTGGACGAGGAGAGGAGGGGGTCAGAGTGTCTGAGCAACAGTCAGATTTATGTAAGGTTCTAATCAGTTTAGGTTGTGAGTGCAAGGACTGGCCAGCTGGTGTTGCGAAATCAGAAGAAGAAAAACAATTATTCATGACAATTTCCGCCCAGAGGATGTGATTATCTATACAGATGGCTCAGTGTGGACAGGCAGATAAAGTGCGTGGGGGTTCATATCAAAAGCAAATGGATGTCGCTTAGTGCTCAAAGCCAGGTGTATGACACAGCAACATCTAGTTTGAGAATGGAGATGGAGGCGGTCACTGCCTTCTGTTGGCTTGAAAACCAGCTATACTTACATGTTGTGGTTGTAACTGGCTCTGTGAAACATGTTGAGAAAAGTAAAGACAGGTATGCTGCATGCAGAGTGGCAGGCATTGTTCCAGAGGTCCCAGTTGTTTGCCGTCCTTTAGATATTTTCTCAGGTCATGCCAATGTGTTGGGAAATGAATCAGCAGTTAGTCTGGGTGGTTCTGCACTGCTTGATAGGGAGCTGATGCATGACAAGCTAGATTCTGTAAGGGTTCCTAGGAGCGAGTGAACAGTGTGGGGGCACAAATAGATCATCACAGCCTGAGAAGAATGGTGTTGTGGGGAGTTACAGGGGATCTGGCCGAGGAACAACACTCAAGGGAAAGACGAGACAGACATATAATCAGATTCTTAATTCAACATGAATTTCCTACTTAAAACCCCTTGAGGTCAATATAGCTGACAGATAGGTGAAAAAACTCTTACAACAAAACACAAGTATGTTAGTTTCACATATTCCAAACACACACAGTCTATTAAAAAATAAATATATATTGTCAGATGCCTTTCTTAAGTTCTGACCAAATGTAAAAATACAGTCACATATATTACGTTAATTAGGGGGGCGGGAAGAAAAGCAATCAACCATGGCATATAGCGTGTGACAAGCAGAGTTAAACATAAGGCAGGTGTAAAAAGTAAACTCAACCTCAAAACAGACAACATAGAACTAACTAATTACACATAGTCACAAATAAAAGCATGGTTAAACTTATTTAGGTAGCAGATAGATTTTGTATATATGATAGATTTTGTATGTTTGAATGGCTAGTGAAGCATGATGTCTGAACCAGTGTGACAGAGTACAGATAACTATCTCTTAGACTGCACTTAAGAATTATTTTGTGGGCTAATATAAGTAGGAAATACTTTTAACTGCATTTGCCTTGTATGTATTTTATGGTTTCTGCAGACCACTGTAGTTTTACAGAATTGTCTCATAAGAAAAAATATGTAATTCTTGAGTGCTGAACTTTGAATACAGACCCAAGTTGTGCTGAGTGTGTAGCTTAGATGAAGTTTTGTAGCAATGTACTATCATATAATATGAATTGACATTTTTTTAATATGAGTTGACATTTTTTTTAAATAGTTTCAAATAATTGTGTATATCTTTCATAATCATGCCTGACAATAAGTAAAATAAAAGTAAGGTTAGTTTACTCTCACCTTCCCAGACTGGGAGGCAACCACCATCATCGTCAGGTGCCTTGTCGACTGGCATGTCTCTCCCCAACCTGCATTTTCCAACAGCAGGTATCAGTTGGTGAGCTGACACCCCTTTATGTCATGACATAAAATTGTCAAGAATCTTTTCATGTTGTCTTCCGCTATCTTTCGTTCCACATATCTTTCCAATGAGCATTCATTGGCTGTAAACACAGGTGAAATGTTCTGGTTGTTCGTCCACTTTTGGACTTTCTTCTTGTTCAAGAACTTGAGTTTTATGAGCACATTAATTTGTCAGATCTGGCTTATTTGTAAATTGGAGGACTGCCCAGTGTGCAGTGATGTCAACTGTGATAAGATATAGCTCTAGAGGCATTAGGATTCCAAGTCAATACTTGCGGGCACCATCATTCATGTGACCCAGCAGCAAAATCAGTGTTATAGCAGAAACTATAATCCTGATATATTTTGCAATTATTCCCAGAAGCTGTAGAAGTATTATGTTAGACTATTTATATTAAATAATGAATCCTGTTACTGACATCAGTTAGGCAGTCACCGTGACGGAGCGGCTAGACGCTTGCCGCAGATTGGAAGGTCATAGGTTGGCTCCCTGGCGGAGCCGGACTTTTAAAAAAAATGACCTTAGCTCCCTGGTCAACCCAGCCTTGAGAGGGTACCGGCTGTAGTCCCGGAAAGTAAAGGTGGTGGGCATGAAGCCGTGGAAAATGGTCCTGATAATTTACTTTACTAACATCAGTTTAAAAAAATTATTAATCAGCTTTTTCTGTCATTTATTTCCTTCACTTGCACCCAATTATGTTGTCCCAGATGATTACAATTATTCATCAACAAGTAAGATTTTTTTGTTTCACTTTCATTTTCTTGAATTCATTCGAACACTTTTTCTCTAACCGTGTTTGAATTTAATTTATCATAGCATGTGTTAACATTTATAACTCAGTGACAGAAATGTTAGGAAGATGGCGGGGGGGGGGGGGGGGGGGGGGGGGGGGGGGGGGGGGGGGGGGGGGGGGGGGGGGGGGGGGGGGGGGGGGGGGGGGAGGTGGGGGGGGGGGGGGGGGGGGGGGGGATAGAAAAGAATGTGTAGGGAGACCTATCATACAGGAAAATATAGATATTTGACACTCATTTGACTTATACTCTCAGTCTGTAATAATTATAAGCGTGCAAACTACAAACATAATTAATAATCCTCAAATCTGAATTATTAACACACTTTTGTCCCCCCATGTAGACTCTGGGGCCCCCTTTAAAGGAATGAAGTATACGTTGCCCCCAGCAAGGATATCATAAAAGGCGACTAACACAGTTATGTTTGTACATAACAAAAATTAAATCAGGTGGCTTGAACATGTGTGAAGATTACCATCAGACAGTGCACCACAGAGAACATGGTCACTTAGACATAATGGAACCAGAGACAGAGGTTACCATAGCAAATAAAGGACTGATGAAATATCAGAGGCTATAAATACTGGCACCTACATAGCACATACCCAGGCTCTCACCTGATGCCCCTTGAAAACCTGATGCTGAAAGTCATCAAAGGACTAAAGAAGAAGAAGTGCATACAAATATATTAACACTAGCTGTACCAGGCCACGCGTTGCTGTGGCGTAATTTGAGATAGTCTTTGATCCCCACCCCCCCCCCACCCCACAACTAAATCCACCTACTACCCTCTCCCTCATCAAAGGTTTTTAGAAAAGAAAGACAATGGAAATCGCACCTGTCTAATGAAGTTAATGACGCAGTCAATGTCTGCGCCGACGTCGAGATAGTCCTTCCCCCCCCCCCCCCTCCATCGAAGGTTGTTTGAAAAAAAAAATCAGAAAATAGAAATCGTGTTTAATATGGTTATTGTGGCAAATACAGAGATAGTCTTGTTTGCGGTACCTCGACCTACTCTATGTATTAAGGCGTTGGCTGCACGTAACTCGCCGGCGAATGGCGGAAGCCTTGCATTCTGACTACGGTGGCGCATGCGCAATTACTAACGTGGCTATAATTAGAAATCACTAAAGTTATAAATATTAGTTGCGAATATTATGGCATAAACTGTGGTCACCTATCTCTAACAGTGACGGGTTGAATTTCAAACCACAATGGTTCAAAATCCGGTATCAAAACAAACATATCCTGAAAATTTCAGCTAAATCGGTTCAGTAGTTTCCGAGTCTATAGGGAACAAACAAACACACAAACATTGATTTTTATATATATAGATGTGCAATGTCAAGGGGTGTTTGAAAACAAAGGACCAAGAAAACTGATGAACACTAGATGGAATTAATTGAAGATGGGTGAAGTAATCAGAGAAATGTTTTGACAGCCTTGATATTCATAATTACAAGACAAAGAATATGCCGCCATATTAGTTACATCCCGATTAGATGTGAGCAGAGAATCACCAAACAGTCACTGAACTGGGAAACAAATGGACTGATAAAACAAGGACATTCAAGAGAAACACAGAAATAAGAACAGATAAGAGAGTCTGAAGTTGCTGGACTGGATTCCATCCATGATATCCAAGGGACAGAACAGATAAGAGAGTCTGAAGTTGCTGAACTGGATTCCATCCATGATATCCAAGGGATAGAACAGATAAGAGAGTCTGAAGTTGCTTGACTGGATTCCATCCATGATATCAAAGGGATAGAAAAGATTAGAGAGTCTGAATGTGCTGGACCGGATTCCATCCATGATAGCAAAGGGATAGAACAGGATAGAACAGAACTGAGGAACAGACTGTGAGCCCCGTATAACATATAGTGACACAACAGAGCAGTGATGAGAAGGAAATGACAAGGGAAGGAGGGAACTGCTTCATGTGATGCAGGGAAGACTGCCCATCTTTGGGGTGATGTTAATAAAGTACCTACAGTGTGTTTAATGTGAATATTTTTGTGGGGTTCTGTTAAAAAAAAAAAAAAA